CATTCCTGTGTCCCCACCCAGCTGCACTGAGGGTCAGGACATAGCCACAAGTGATTTACTCCTGCCGTGGCGAATGTGGTGTCCTTGCTCCACCGAAGTGTCGTCATTCCTCCGTGCTCAGGTGGGGAACCCCAAGCACAGAGCCCAGGAGCAACACTGTGGGTTTTGACCAGGCATCAGGGCAGGGAGCACTGTGGAGAAGGAATTGCTTGGAGCAGGCAGAGCTCACTGCCAGCTCTCTAGCAGGCTTGGAAAAGCTCCAGGTGGTTTTTCATGCTGTCCACAAGCTCTGTTCATGCTGGCCAGGCCTCTCAGCTGGTTTTATCCATGTCTTGCTGTTAGGAGCAGATGGAGATCATCATGCTTCAAACTTGTTTAATATTTCACTAATTTTTAACAGGTTCCTCTCATACATCAGGAAATGCTGCCAAGAAGCTTTTAAATAAGGTTGCAAAGGGGCAGTGAGGCCCAAATCAACCAAATCAAAGAGCTGACAAAATCAGCCACAGCTTTAGGCTGACAGGGAAAACTTCACTCTGCATTTCTGAATGCTAAGCCAGAAATTTAGTTAAGAAACGCAATATTCTTCAAAAAAAAATGACCCGAGTCTGTGCTCGGATATGTCAAGGAAGTGCCTGTAATTCCAAAGGGAAACGAAAGGCCCATTCTGCTCAGACACCTGGCACAGGGAGCTCTGGTGGTCATGCCCAGGAATGGCCTCCCCTGTCAGAGAAGCATTTCTGGACCTATGAATGCAGCTGTGAGCACAACAGCAGCATTACAAAGGGGTTAGTTGTGCCCTTCCGTGCTGTCTCAGAGAGCTGAGCAGGGCTCAGGGTGATCTGAGTTGCTAGGGCTGAGCTGCAGGGGCTTAGGGCACTGCAGACAAAACCCCTCAGGTTGCTTGTCCAGTTTGTGATTGTTCAAAGCAAGATGAAGAGAGAAAGGTGGATCAAAATTACACTGTAGAATGGGAAACCACTAATAAATCATGGAATCACAGACTGGTTTGGGTTGGAAGGGGCCTCAAAGCTCATCTAGCTCCAACCCCTTTGCCAGGGACATGGACACCTTTCACTCAATTCCAAGCCCCATCCAGCCTGGCCTGGAGCACTCCCAGGGATGGAGCAGCCACATCTGCTCTGGGCAACCTGTGCCAGTCCTCAGCACCTCACAGGGAGGAATTCCTTCCCAATATCCCATCTGTCCCTGCCCTCTGGCAGTGGGAAGCCATTCCCTGTGCCCTGTCCCTCCGTCCCTTGCCCAAGTCCCTCTGCAGCTCTCTTGGAGCCCCTTTAGGCACTGAGAGGGGCTCTGAGGTCTTCCTGGAGCTGTCACATCTCCAGGCTGAACACCCTCAGCTCTCCCAGCCTTTCCTCATAACAGAGGTGCTCCAGCCCTGGGTGCATCTCTGTGCCCTCCTCTGCACTCCCTCCAACAGCTCCATGTCCTTCTCATGCTCTGTGCCCCAGAGCTGGAGGCTGCACTGCAGGTGGAGTCTCAGCTGAGCTGAGCAGAGAAGGAGAATCACCTCCCTCAACCCTCCTGCTCACACATGCAGCTCAACATGGTTTCTGTGTGTAATCTAACTAAGCTCTGGCACGCTGCCCTGGGAGCCCTGTCTCTGCCCGCAGGTGCCGCTGGGTGCCAGCCTGGCCCCCGTGGCCATGCTGGCGGACGAGGCAGCCGTGGCCGCGTGGCACAACCAGGGGCTCCCTGCAGACCACATGTCCACAGCCAACGCTGCCATCCTGCACTGCTGCGAGCGCTGGCCCCTCATGGTGGACCCTCAGCTCCAGGGCATCAAGTGGATCAAAACCAAATACGGCCAAGAGCTCCGAGTGATCCGAATGGGGCAGAAAGGGTAAACATCCTCCTCACGTAACTGCACCTGGGAGTGGAGTGTTTGCTGAGCACTGGGTGTGTAGCTGCTGAGTTACCTTGAGACAAACCCTCCGCTGTGTTTGCTCACAGCATCTGCTTGTTCGCTACCGAAATGAGAGAGATTGCTCATTAAATAAAGGGCCTGGTTAGTGCTTGGCTCAGTTACCATAGAAACTCCTCTGGAGCTGTGCTGGGGCTGAGCTCTGTGTGCCACGGAACTCAGACTGGGTTGGGATGGAAGGAACTTGTTCATACAGTTCGTGATTGTTCACAGCAAGACTGAGAAACAAAACCAGATCAAACTATGCTGTAGAATGGGAAACCACTGATAAATCATGGAATCCCAGAATGGTTTGGGTTGAAAGTGACCTTAAAGATCATCCCACCCCGTACCACTCCTGCCATGGGCAGGGACACCTTCCCCCAGCCCAGGCTGCTCCAAGCCCTGTCAGACCTGACCTGGAACACTCCCAGGGATGGAGCAGCCACAACTTCTCTGGGCAAGAGGCCTGTGTAGGTCTGTAACCAGGTAGTAGGATCAACCATCCTGTCCCTCTTTCACTTTCCAACTGTTGTCACGTGTCTGGAGCTGTCAGCACAGTGCACAGCCCTCTCTGTCCCCCTCACATCCTCCTCACAGCCTGCCCTGCTGCAGGAGGTACCAGTGCAGCTTCTCACAGGTATCTGGACACTCTGGAACGAGCCCTGGCTGCAGGAGAACTGGTTTTGATTGAAAACCTGGAGGAATCTGTGGATCCAGTGCTTGGCCCCTTACTGGGACGAGAAACGATCAAGAAAGGCAGGTGAGCCTGGGGAGGATGGTGGCACTCATGGGTGGGTGCTGGGGGCAGTTGTGCTCTCTGTTCCTGACCTCAGGGCATGGGTGTTCCTACCCAGCAGCACTAACATCCTGCCTTTGAAGGCATTTTAAATCAGGCAGTCACAGGTCATTCAGTCATGGATGGCTTGGAAATCAACCTGCATTTCTCATTTTATTGCACAGTGCTATTCGAACCTCCTGTAACAAGGAGACCTGTAATTCTCCCGCTGCACAGTGACCTTGGGGGCGGTAATTGGCTGTCCTGACACTGAATTATTACCAAAATAGCTGTTGTGAAGAAAAAGTAGCCTTGAATTTCAACAAACATTGTGCATTGCCTAGGAATACAGCTACAGGTTTAAGCTTTAAGGATATAAAGTGTTTCTAATGAGGTCAAGTTCTTTGTGGCAGCTGCTGGTCACCTCCAGCTGAGAGGAGGTCAGTGAGGGAGTAGCAAGGGAACTTGCTTCTTCCTTCAGTTCTGTGAGGATTATTTCCTTACTTGCCTATAATATCGCAGGGCAAGGCAAGGAAAAACACCATGGGAAGGGTGGCAGAGCATGGGTTTGGCTGCAGGATGGAGGGAGAGGATGAGATGGTGAGATGGGGACATAGCAGAGAGTGGCAATCCTGAGCCCTCCCCCAGGGAGACACTCAGCCCCTTTTGGGGCTGCATGTCTCTGCTCTCAAAGCTCTCTGTGAGACCATGTGTTTTGTAGGAGAGGGAAAATAAGTCCTAAATCACACAAGTCCATAGGGTTTATGTTTCCAGGACATGGACAAGCAGTGGCAGTCCTAAAGCAGGAAGGCATATGCTCTTGGTGCTCTGGCAGCATCTCTGGGTGATTTCTCTCTGCCTCAGTTTCACAGCTATAAAAGCAATTGAGAGGGCCAAGAGGACACTAAGTGAGTGATGTGTATCCAAACTCCTGTGATAACATCACCATTCCTGTCCCAGTGCATCCCTGAAAGCATTTCCAGTTTCTCTTCCAGCTGGTTGCCATGGGCTTTGTTAAACTCTGCTGTGTTGATTCCTGGGGTCTCTGTGTTTTAGGCTTGACGGCACAAATGCAGATCAAGGGGAGGTTGGGTTTTCCTGGGTCATGTTTCCCCCCAGGAATGGCAACCAGATGCTCTCTGAATGTGGCTTCACTGCTCAAGTCCAGTGTGACCACAGAGCTGCTCTCAGAAGAGGCAATTCTAGAACTGAAAATCTCAGTGCTGAGAGGCTTTTCCTCCCTGTAACTCCAGCGTTGGGTGGCATACAGCCTCTGGCAAAAGCACAGAGGGTTCAGGACTGGCCATGCTGCTGCTGGAAACTGTGAGGCCCCAAAACTCAGGGGCAGCTCTTGGGTTTTTAGCCTAAATCAGAAGTGCCTCAGGTGTGTCCAATTTTAAACACTTTTTGTTTTGCTAGTGATTTCAGTGTGAAGGTGCCAAGACCCATGCTGCTCAGTGCCACTGCCTGAGAGCTCCTTGTGCCCTGAGGTGGCACAGACTCATGCTCCTTTTGCTCTCATTCCAGGTACATTAAGATTGGGGACAAGGAGTGTGACTTCAACCCTGCTTTCCGCCTCATCCTGCACACCAAGCTGGCAAACCCTCACTTCCAGCCTGAGCTGCAGGCCCAGTGCACCCTCATCAACTTCACCGTGACTCGGGACGGGCTGGAGGAGCAGCTGCTGGCGGCCGTGGTGCGCATGGAGCGGCCTGACCTGGAGGAGCTCAAGGTCAGTGGCTGAGAGTCTGCACTGTCATCATCATCATCCTCCTCCTCCTCAGTGGGATCATTATGACAGTGAGCTCAGTGCTCCCTCAGCAGTTCATTGCTGACACCAAGTGTGTGGTGCAGTCACAGCTGGAGGGAAGGGATGGACCATCCACAGGGACCTGACAGGCTGGTGCCAACCTCATGGAGTTCAACAGAGCCAAGGGCAAGGTCCTACCCTTGGTCAGGGCAGTCCCAGACACAGCTCTAGGCTGGGGGAGAAGTCACTGAGAGCAGCCCTGGGAGAAGGACTTGGGGTGATGCTGATGCCAAACTCCCCCTGAGCTGCAGGGTGAGCTCAGCCCAGAAACCAACTGTGTCCTGGGCTGCAGCCAGAGCAGTGTGGGCAGCAGGGCAGGGAGGGGATTCTGCCCCTCTGCTCTGCTCTGCTGACACCCACCTGGAGTCCTGCACACAGCTCTGGTGACCCCAACAGCAGAAGGACATGGAGCTGTTGGAGCAAGGCCAGAGGAGGCCACGGAGCTGCTCAGGGCACCGAGCACCTTCCCTACAAGGATCTCTAAGCTCCATTCCAACCCCTTAACACACTAGGATGATACAATGATCATTCTTATTGTAATTTAAATCAAAGAGCATTTCCTGGGCAAGGTTGCAGAGGTTGCTGAAGTCCTCATAAAATCAGGAGATTTTCCCTTGAATTGAGGATTTATTTTCTTCAGTCTTTTGTTTTCTTGGTATTTTGAAAACACTTGAACTGCAATTTCAAGTGTTTTCTCCCAAAGTTTGGGTAAGAATCCCTTTATTTTCCTCCTCCTCTTCTGACTTCTCATTATCTCAGGTTTTTCTGGAGTTCACAGCTTTAATTTTGGAGGCAGGATTAATCTCACTTCATTTTCAGCACTTATGGCATAGGATTCTCTCTGTAAATATTGTGAGGCTGCTAATGACATTTTTCTGTTCTGGTTCTTCCTCCCACTTGTTTGTAACAGGCCAAAATATTCTCTCTCTCTCTCTGTTTTAATAAGTATGGCTTTAGCTTCAAGATAAAGAAAATCCTCTATTCTAATGACACATTTAACAAGGTAACTAACATGTATCATACTAAATATTTACTGAGAGTGGGAATAAATTTACTGCACATGTTCATTCAGGCCAGGCCAGTTCTGTAATAATCTCTTCATTTAATGAGGTTCTGAAGTGCTTTAGCTGGGCAACCTTAATGATGCATTGAGTTTTCACCAGGCTCATGTGCTAATGAGCCCAGAGTTGGCATGAGAAATGCATAACCAGCTGATTTAACGTGTGAGCCGTGACTGTCTCTCTGGGGCCACGAGAGACCTGGAGCCTCTTGGCCCCAAGGGTCAGCCCTGGGCTGATCTGACTGGTGTGGGATGTCATTTTCCTTATCTTTAATGATATGTAAGAGCTTTGTCTTGCTGTGGTGACAGAGAGGAAATAGCAGAGCTCACCATCTCTCCTCTCCCCTGCATCTGCTTCCCTCCTACTCCAGCCCTGTGCCCCAGCAGGTATCAAGGAGGAGTAAAGCAGCCTGGTATTAGAGAATCACAGAGTATCCTGAGCTGGAAGGACCCACAGGGATCAGAGTCCAACTCCTACCCTTGCACAGACACCCCAACACTGCACCCTGTGCCTGAGAGCATTGGCCAAACACTCCCTGAGCTCTGTCAGCCTTGGGGCTGTGACACTGCCCTGGGGAGCTGTTCAGTGCCCAAACACCTCTGGGGGAAGAACCTTGTCCTGATATCCAACCCAACCCTTTTCCAGTGCCCAAACACCTCTGGGGGAAGACCCTGGTCCTGATATCCAACCTAACCCTCCCCTGGCACAGCTCAAGCCCTTCTCTGAAGGTCCAGACGTGACTCTGGATTCCCTAAACAAGAGACACCTCTCCACGTGTGTGTCAGCCCATCCTCTCCACACTGGGACTAAAGGGACAGGCATGTGGAGACCAGGGAAGGTTTGGGGCTCTCTTCAAGGGCAGGTGGAGGTGATTGCTACAGCACTGCAGGATAGTTACTGAGCTCAAAGCACACCTTGTATGTGGAGCCTAGAATTTATCCCTAATAACCTAATCAAAATTCATCAAACAGCTGTTATTAATCCGATTCCAATAACAGTGACCTTTTCAAAATGTTTCCTCAACACAGTCTGTGTCTGTAATCTTTTCCTTCATTGATCTCAGTTACTCAGCCTTTCTGTTCCTCCCTGCTTTGAAGCTCTGTGCCTCCTTCCCAGCATTGCATTCCTGTGCCCAGCCTGAGACCACCCTGCCACACTGTGGTTCTCGGGACAATAATCTGCTCAGGATCACTCCTTGCTTGTTAGGGTTAGGCATTACAGCCTGGGCCAGGGTGAGGCAGCAATGGCCTGGCTGTGAGACAGCCGCAGCTCAGAGCAGTGTAGGGCAAGGCAAGCAAAGCCAAATGCCCAGACCTTCCCTCTCCGGTCAGTCCAAACCCTCTGGCCTTTCACTGCTCACATCTGCAATTCCTTTGGTGAGGATGACTGTTGGTCCAGATGCATCATCAGAGCTGGTTTGATAGTATCACAGTATGTGAAGGGGTTGGAATGGAGCTCAGAGATGATCCAGCCCCAACCCCTGCCCTGGGCAGGGACACCTCCCACCAGAGCAGGTTGCTCAAGGCTCATCCAACCTGGCTGTGAACACTGCCAGGGTTGGGGCAGCCACAGCCTCCCTGGGCAACCTGGGACAGTGTCTCACCACCCTCACAGGGAAAACTTCTGCCTCAGATCTCATCTCAATTTCCCTCTTTCCATTTCTCCCATTGCTCCTTGTCCTGTCCCTGCAGTTCCTAACCCAGAGTCCTCTGCAGCTTCCCTGGAGCCCCTTCAGCTCCTGGCAGGTGCTCTGAGGTCTCCACAACCTTCTCTTCTCCAGGCTGAGCAGCCCCAGCTCTCTCAGCCTGTCCTTGCAGGGAAGGTGCTCCAGTGCTCTTTGTTGGGTATGTCCCATCTTCTCTAGATTTCACTGTTTGGCTGAAATGTCTCAAATGGTATTTACCTCAAACTGAATGTCTGGTCAGTGCTGAGAACGGCCTTAGGAAGGATGTTTTGGTGGCTGTAGGCAGATAAGCTATGAGTTAGGTGCTGCCATGCTGATGTATCAAGTAATATGTGTGTGAAGTACCAGCACAGTCAGCCTGTGATGGTCAGTGTTGAGATTCTTCCTCAGGATTAGATATATGGAAGAAATTCCTCTCTGTGAGGTGCTGAGGCACTGGCACAGGTTGCCCAGAGCAGCTGTGGCTGCTGGGAGTGTTCCAGGCCAGGTTGGATGAGGCTTGGAGCAGCCTGGGCTGGTAGAAAGTCTCTGGAGTTGGAAGTAGATGGGCTTTAAGGTTCCTCCAACCCAAACCTTTCTGGGATTCTATGAAAACACAGGGAATGTTTCCCTCTCTGGTTTGTGATGTTCAAGTAACACAAGCAAAGCAGCTGCAAGAACAAGGAGAGGAAGGTGGCTGAGCTCAGAGGGGCTGGCAGTGAATCCTGCAGCGCTGGCCTGGAGCTCTGAGAGTTCCCTATGTCCCAGAGGCAGCACAGTTATATATAACCTGTGAAATAAGAGCTAATGAGCTCCACTGCAGGAGTAAGGAACAGTTACCTTGCTACTGCTGCCATCCATGGCACTGGGGGACCCACATGCTGCCTGTGCCTCTGAGGTGCTCCCAGAACCTGTGTGGGGACTAGGAGCACAAATCCTTCCCATCCTCTTTACCAACTCCCGTGCTCACGGTCCATGGTCTGGAATAATAGCCTGCAAAATGTCATTTTTCAAGGCCTGCTATGCTTGAATGACAAGAACTCACTCAATTAGCCCTGTTAGTTTTCTGGTTCAAGACTTGTGAAATATTTACCACCACAGGCAAATTCCTGTGTGTAATTCCTGTGGAACAGGCCATTAGAACAGCCTTTTCCAGCTGAAATACCAAGAGCAGACATGCTCCAGAGCCCTCTCTGCTGAGTACCTGGGTTGGCATTAACATGGTACGAGTGTGTGCACAGCAAGTGCATGGAAATCAGCCCAAATATTGACAGAGGAGTTAGTAATGAAAGAGTCACTTAATCTGCTTGAAAACCTCTGGCAACAGAGCAAACCCTGTGGTCTCTCTCCTGCCTGGTGGGGCTGGGAGAGGCACAGGGTCACACTGCTCAGTGTCCTGCCTGGCCTGCCCACAGCCAGGGGTGGAGGGTGAGCTGTTTGCCTTGTTGAAGCTGCTTCTGCTGGTGAGAGGTAATCATAGTCATGGAATATCCTGAGCTAGAAGGGACCCACAGGGATCATTACTCCAAATCCTGCCCTGCACAGACACCCCAACACTGCACCCTGTGCCTGAGAGCATTGGCCAAACGCTCCTTGAGCTCTGTCACCTTGGGGCTGTGTCCACTGCCCTGGGGAGCTGTTCAGTGCCCAAACACCTCTGGGGGAAGAACCTGATCCTGATATCCAACCTGACTCTCCCCTGAGACAGCTCCAGCTGTTCCCTGGGTCCTGTCACTGTCCCAGAGAGCAGAGCTGTAGCTTCCCCTGCACTGCCCCTCGGGAGGAGCTACAGGACCCCAATGAGCTCTGCCCTCGGCCTTCTTGGCTCCAGCTGAACAACCCAGGTGCCCTCAGCTGCTCCTCATGTGGCCTCTCCAGACCCTTCACCATATTCTTAGCCACTTTGGCAGGGGGATTTGTGCATGGAAAGCTTTAGCCCAAGAAGCCACTGGTCTCAGTAGGACCTCAAGGCCAGGATACAAACAGGAGCAGCAAAAGCTGTGGCTCTGCCCTCAGTCCTGAGCCTGGGGTGCTTTGTGCTCCCTTCAGGACCTGAGGGACCTTGCTGCTGGCTTTGCCTCAGGTTTCAGCGCCGTGGCCCTCCTTGTGGCTGGTGGTGCTGTGGAGTGGCAAGCACAGAGGTTCCCCAGGAGGGAGAGACAGCAGGGACTGCCCAGGATGACTTGAGCCAAATAAACAGATAATACAAAGACAGGAATGCAATGTTTAAGATGAGGATAAAGGTCTTTTCTTCGTGATTAATTGCTAACATTTTCATACATTTCAAGTGAAAGAGTTTGGTTCTCCTGGTGCTTTCTGTGCTGTTCAAGGTTTCTCTGAGTTGATGGACTGGAGTAATCCCAGAGCTCTGTCTATGCCTAGGAGTTGCAGAGAGCAGAGATAAACACTCCTGGACTATGGCAATTGCCAGTGAAAAGCCTGTTCCCATGGGAAGGTGCTTAATCCTTACCTTACCACAGGTTTTGTGGCTAAAATTTCCTTGAGTTCTCATTTGCAGTCAGATCTCACAAAGCAGCAGAACGGATTCAAGATCACCTTGAAAACATTAGAGGACAACTTGCTCTCTCGGCTGTCATCAGCATCTGGGAATTTCCTGGGAGACACAGCCTTGGTGGAGAACTTGGAAATCACTAAACAGACAGCTGCAGAAATCGAGGAGAAGGTACAAAGACAGTGATAGCCTGGAGAAAAGTGTGTGTGTGTGATATGTTATCTTTAAGGATCTGGGTGGAATGTAACCCCCACTCTGCCCATCTCTGCTCCTGCTGAGCAGGGAATAGCAATTGGTTTGAATTGAAGAGCTCTTGGTTCTGGAGAGCTGCAGGCCATTTAGCTCTTTGGAGCTTTTGTGTGTTAAATGACCTATTTAAGACCAAGAGGAAACATCAGTGCCTGATGTAAAGACAGTTAAAATTTACACAGTGTGTCAAGACAGCTTTAAACTGTTCCAGCATAATCCTGAGTACATCATACTGCCTCAATTAAACTGGATTTTAGTACTAACCAGGGACTAGGATGTGGGGAGTTTGCCTTCTCGAGTACATCTGCAGGAATTTGGGGATTTCATACCCTGCCATTCCTGAGAGGATAAATCAGTGTTTGTATGAGCTGTGAGTGGCAGCACTGCCACCTGCACAGTTCCCCTTCCTGCCTAGATGGGATCAAGGAAATGCACAATGGCTTTTCCCTGCCACTGAGGGTACTGAGGAAGTGTGGTTGTCATGCCAGGATCGTGCCAGGACTCTGGTATGGCCATTCAGCTGCTTCCCTTTGCAGTCCTCCCATCTTGGAGCAACCTGGGTTAGTGGAAGTTGTCCCTGTCCATGGCAGGGGGTTGGAATGAGAAGGGCTTTGCGGTCCTTTCCGACTCAAACTCTTTCATGATTCTATGATCCCATAGCATGGTTAGCTGAGCTGGCTGGATCAGCACTGGATCAGCAGCAGTGGCTGTTTGGCAAGACATGTCTGTCCACACCCAGAGTCCAAAATATCCCCCAAGGGGCCTGAGGACATCACTTTGTGCTGCTGAAGTAGAATGCAAGAATGAGCAGGACCAAGGTCATAGAATCAGAATGTGAAGGGTTGGAATGGAGCTCAGAGATGATCCAGCCCCAACCCCTGCCCTGGGCAGGGACACCTCCCACCAGAGCAGGTTGCTCAAGGCTCATCCAACCTGGCTGTGAACATTGCCAGGGTTGGGGCAGCCACAGCCTCCCTGGGCAACCTGGGCCAGTGTAATGGAAGAGATGATGATAGGAAGGTCTACCTGCCAAAGAGATTCTGACATGTCCAAGCAGCAGCTGCGGCTCTCCCTGGCCAGTGAGGTGGAAGGTGTTCACTGCTGCTGAGGAAAGACAGAAAACAGCTGAGGTAAATTAGCAGCTCTCAGCCCTGGGAGCTGCTTGAGAGAAGCACCAGGTCTGTTCAGCTCTGGGTGGTTAATGACCAGCACAAGACTGGGGCAATTAGCAGGAGAAACTCATTGATGAGAAAAACCATTAGTAAAGACCAGGGATCAGAGGGAAAAGTCTGGAGGGGACTCAGGAAAACCAAGGACTGGGCAACTGGGTTGAAAATGCAGTTAAATGGAAGGTGCCAGGCGGATGCTGGAGAGGCACAGCTCAGGCTTGTCTGCTTGGGGGACAGAGCTGATCCCCACAGTGGGGATTGCTCACTGCTTGGCCTGGTGACTTTGTGGCACCTGTCTGTCCTCCCTGAGCTGCACTCCCTGCACAGGACTGCTCTCACAGGAATTCTGTTGTGTTTTCCTGCAGGTTAAAGAGTTCAAGGTGACAGAAGCCAAGATCAACGAGGCCAGAGAACACTACAGACCGGCGGCCACGAGGGCCTCACTGCTCTACTTCACCATGAATGAGCTCCACTCCATCCACCCCATGTACCAGTTCTCACTCAAGGTACTGTGCCCAGGCAGTGCTGGGCCTTCTCTCTCTTAGGGAGGCATAGGATCACAGAATGGTTTGGATTGAGAGGGACCTCAAAAACCACCTGGACAGGGACACTAGCCCAGGTTGCTCCAAGCCCCATCCAACCTGGCCTGGAACACTTCCAGGGATGGAGCAGCCACAGCTGCTCTGGACAACCTGTGCCAGTGCCTCAGCACCCTCACAGGGAAGAATTCCTTCCCAATATCCCATCTAACCCTGCCCTCTGGTATTCACAGAATTGAGGTTGGGAAAGGCCTCAAAGATCATCAAGTCCAACCTGTGACTCATCAGCACCTTATCAATGAGATCAGAGGACTAAGTGCCACATCCAGTTGTTCCTTGAATAACTCCAGGGATGGCGACTCCACCACCTCCCTGGACAGTCACATTCAATGCCTGATAACCCTTTCCATGGAAAAATTGCTCCTGATGTCCAACCTGAACCTCCCCTGGCACAGCTTGAGGCCATTTCCCCTTGTCCTGTCCCTTGTTCCCTGGGAGCAGCCCCTGACCCCACCTGGCTGCATCTCCTGACAGGGAGTTGTAGAGAGCAGAAGGTTCCCCTAAGCCTTCTTTTCTCCAGGCTGAGCACCCCAGATCCCTCAGCTTCTCCTTGTGCTCAGCTCCATTCCCTTCCCTGGACACCTCCAGCCCCTGTTTCTTGCAGTGAGGACCCAGAACTGGTCCCTGAGCAGCTTCTCTGGCCCTGCTGCAGGGAAACCCCAGGGCAGACAGGCCCCTGCCCAGAGCAGTCTCGGTAGCTCTGCCCAGGAGAGACCCAAAGGCCTTTTGGGGTATTTATCAGAGTTCCAGTTTGAATGTCTAATAAATGGGAGAGCTTTGTATTTTATCCCTGGAGAAAAGTATTTTGGGATGTGGAGGGTTAAATAAGCTGAATCCTAGCCTAGAACTTCTTCCAAACAATTTCTTACCTTACCAAGTGACCTGGAAAAGGGAATTGAGAAGAGAACACAATATGTTGAGCCTCAGCCACAAAGCAGCTTTTCTTTTTGATATTTCCCCCTGCTTTGTTGAAGTAATTTTATCAGAAAAATGTACAGAATATCTTTTGTGCCTTTTGAGAGATTTATTCCTTCCCATCCATAACAGATCCAGAGGTTCCTGAGGTTTCACCTTTCATCTCTGTCTTACAGAGCTTGGTTCATGTCTTGCAGCTAACATTAGCAGTGTGTATAAACACGTGGAAAATTACGGGGTGAAATGGTTTTACCTAATACATTCTGATGACAGATCATAAAACATTGTGTGAAAAACACAGATATGAGTGTAGGATACTTGCCACACAGCTCGGAGTAAATTGGAGCACCAAGATTTCTCTGCTGCTCTGCAGCATCTTTTAACTCCACTGAAAGAAATGTTAAATAGGCAAAGGCAATCTGCAATTATTCAATAATGCATTAGGTATCAATGTTACTTTGATTTGTTGAGGCTTCACTTTTCCTTAGTAGAGCCCTAAAAATAAAGCTGCCAACAGTCATGCCTTGTCCAGTGCCACCAATGAGTCTTGGCCTGGTTATCTCCTCCAGCTGGGCCCAGTGTGGAGCATTGCTGAGCAGGACTCAGGCTTCTTTTCTTCTTTCTCGTTCTCTTTTCCAGTTGCATTTGATAATTTGCTAATGGGTTTTCTTTCGAAGGTTCTGAAAGTTGTTTGTCTTTTCTCATTTAGATCAGAAATGTTGTTGCAAGAATCCTTAGTCTCTTATATAAGAGAGGCACCCAATCCTGAGGGGACCTCACAGGCTGTCCCATACCACTGCCCCTGGTCCCTTCTCCCTGCCCTTCTGGCCACTCCTGCACCAGATCCAGACAGCAAAGCACAAATGGGGCCTTTATTTTATTGTTACTGCTTGAGGGAATTGCTTTTCCCTGAATTGAAACCCTTTAGGTCTGGAAAACACATCGTATGAGGAAGGGCTGAGGGAGTTGGGTTTGGTTAGCCTGGAGAAGAGGCTCAGGGGTCACCTCATGGCTCTCTGCAACTCCCTGCCACTGGGGGATGTGTGTCCTGCCAGGGCTGCAGGGAGAGGAGAGAGGGAATGGCCTTGAGCTGAGCCAGGGCAGAGTCAGAGGAGATGGTAGGGAAATGTTTTCCCTGTGAGGGTGTTCAGGCACTGGGATATTGCCCAGGGAGGTGGTGCAGTCACCATCCCTGGAGGTGTTTCAGAGGTGTCTGGATGTGGCACTGGAGGATCTGGGTTAGGGGTTCCAGCAGTGGCAGGTTAATGGTTGGACTTGATGACCTTAGAGGTCTCCTCTAACCTTGATGATGTACCCAGGGGCATGCAAAGGGCATCGTAACCCCCTGTTCCTGCTGTGTCTCCCCTCCCAGGCATTCAGCATGGTGTTCCAGAAAGCCATCAAGAGAGCAGCTCCAGCTGAGAGCCTTGTGGAGCGTGTGCTGAACCTCACCGACAGCATCACCTTCTCCGTGTTCCAGTACACGACTCGGGGGTTGTTTGAGTGTGACAAACTGACCTACACTGCTCAGGTCACCTTCCAGGTAAACATCACCGTGCTCTGTGGTTTGGGGGCAATGATTCAACCTCAGAGCAGCAATTACAGGGGCTGAGGCCTCGTGTTCTTTTCTGCCTCTCTGAGAATCAGTCATTGCAATTTTACAATGTTCCTGTGATCAAACCCACAGCACACCTGCATTTTCTAGCTCTAAGTGTTTCCATGGCACACATTGCACTTGTAAGTACACCTGTGCTGCACTTTGGCAGAGCCACAGAGCTCTCAGCATCCATTTCAGGGCTCACAGCATGTCCATGTGGGCACTGACACCATCTCAGGGCTCACACCATGTCCATGTGGGCACTGACACCATCTCAGGGCTCACACCATGTCCATGTGGGCACTGACACCAGTGCAGTGTGGGCTGGTGGTGACCTTTTGAGGTTCAGGGGGTTGGAGAGAGCTCACCCTGTTCCCCCAGTGCTTTCCCACCTGGCTGTTTCAAGCCAGACAACGTTTCCCCCAGGCTCTGACACCTTGCCACATAGTTTTCCCAGCTTAGGTTTCCTCTTCTGTTGCCAGTCTCCATACTCATTCCTGGTCCTCTTCTGAGGACACCCAAAGCACCTACACGTTGTGTACATCACCCCCATCCAGCGTGGGGCACCGTGTACATTTTAACCACACATTGCGCAGCTATGGAATAATTTATCTGCTGGGTATATTGCTGCTCTGTATCCTGCCTGCTCAAGGATACCTTGTTTGGAATTGCAGATACTTCTGATGAGTAAAGAAATCAACCCAGCAGAACTGGACTTCTTGCTGAGGTACCCAGCACAGCCTGGAGTCACGAGCCCTGTGGAATTCCTGTCGGACAATGCCTGGGGAGGCATCAAGGTACCTGAACCCTGTGAAATCAGCATACCTTACCTCCTCTGAAAGCCTTTCAGCCCTTCAGGTGGGTCCTTATGGCATTTGGTGGCCAAAGTTCTGACTGTACGTGAGAAGCAGCACAAAAAAGCCCCAGACATGGAGAATTCTGCAGGAATAACACTGACTTTGTGAGGTTTCCATGATTGTATCCTGATGTGTATCCCTGAGAAGGTGATCTTTTCCTCTGAGATTGTCTTCCCTCTGTAAGACAGGAATGAGAGCAGCTCTCTGGGTTTGTGGTTACGGGTGCTAAGGGACATGGAGATTATGTCTTCACTCCCTACATGGGACTAGAAGGACATGGAGCTGTTGGAGCAAGGCCAGAGGAGGCCACGGAGCTGCTCAGAGCACTGAGCACCTTCCCTATGAGGACAGGCTGAGAGAGTTGGGGCTGCTCAGCCTGGAGAAGAGAAGGTTGTGTGGAGACCTCAGCGGAACCTGCCCGGAGCTGAAGGGGCTCCAGGGAAGACCGAGAGGGTTGCAGGGAGCTACACAGGTTGCCCAGGGAGGCTGTGGCTGCCCCAACCCTGGCAGGGTTCACAGCCAGGTTGGGTGAGCCTTGAGCAACCTGCTCTGGTGGGAGGGGTCCCTGCCCAGGGCAGGGGTTGGGGCTGGATCATGTCTAAGCTCCATTCCAACCCCTTCACATTCTACAATGCTGTGTCAGTGTATTTAGGAAGAGGTGGGAATTTCAGGTCAATGTGACTGTCTGCAGAGATGTGCTGGGAATGGAGTCCTTGTCCTATTTGTCAGCAGATGTGAACTCTACTGGATTTGGACCTGATTCAGCAGGGTGGGATTTGTTTTCTGAAAGGGGTGAAAATATTCTTGAACTGAAGATTTTGGAGCTGAGATTGTCTTTTGTTTGGCTGTGGCTCCTGATCAGTCTCTGGCACCTGTGGTGAGTTAAGAATCAGTTTTATTTCCAGCATGCTGCTCATGTGGGACATTCCCTAGTGAGTGTGGCAGGGAATGAGGGCACCCCAGTTTCATTGGGATAGTTCTCAAATGTTCCCTTGAGGCACTGGGTTTTCCCTTTCTCTCCCTTCTCCCTGCTGCACAGAGAATGTGTCTGGCTCGTGGAGGGTGGCCAGTCAGAAAATCTCCATCCAGGCCCAAGATGGCTCTGATAATCTTTGCCTGTTTGTAGTGTTTTCTGGGGCTCTCCAGATGTGTGCAGCAGCCCTGGCACATGGTGCCACACGACTTTCTAGGCAAGTCTGCTGGGTTGGGCTTCACTGGGCAAACCCTGTCCTTCAGGCACACGGAGTTTGGCTCCAGGCTGCAGCCTGAGCTCAGGAGTCATGGAATTATGTTTCTACAACAGGTGACCCATAGAGATTTCAAATGGAACAATTCCTGGCAGATGTGTCTGTCCTGACCAGGAGTTCTCACCTCCATCTCTTCACTGGCAGTGGGTTCAGGGCCTCTGCCTCCTCCTGCATGACCTACCTCATGTTGAAAATGTCACAATCACATCTTTAGACATAAAATTAGCTTGGAACTTCTCACTAAGCCAGCTCTGTTCAGCCTCTAAAAGGCATATTTCCATAATAATGAAGGAATTAAACAATCCTACACCCTTTCCTTAATCATCCTTTGTTCAGCAGTGACACTTGGCTGCTCAGACAGCAGCAGCTTTGCTTTTGTTCCTGCTTTGAAGACAAATTAAATGGACAGTTAGGGTCAACACACACAACCAAGAGGAGTTAGACATCAAACCCATGTAATACGTACTTTGCAGCGTATTTTGTCTTTGGGCTGTGGAGTCTCTATGGATTGTAGATGTACACATATGTGCTTGAAATCACAGGTTTTCTCAACTCTGTCTCCTCAGCCTGGAGATATGTGGGGTGAAAGCTGCACTTCAGTGTCCTGAGTCCCTCTGGGTTGGGGTTCTTGGCTCGTTCATTGCTGTTTAATGGTTGGACTTGATGATCTTAGAGGTTTCCTCCAGCCTTGATGGTTCGTTGGGGTCCTTGCGAGGAACAGACTACAGCACACACCAATATGATGCTCTGATAGCCAACTTTATTTAGGGCACCTAACAGTATTTCTAGTAAAATGTCTCCCGTCCATGCAGCTACGAGCTGATCACACAACTTTGGATTGGTTGCTCAACCTGTCAATGCTGCAGTTCTTACTTATGATAGGTTACAAGTTTAAGCTGCATCCCACTCTCACATCCTGGGAAACTGATAGCAAGAACTACACAGTGTCTATGAGAATCTAAACAACAGCACTATTCTTAGCTTGTTAGCAAAATGACTTATCTATAAGGCAGTAAAACTAAAACCAAACCTAAAAACCCTGGCAGCAGGAGAGAACAGGACCATTATAAGGTGTTGGATTGAAAACACAGGGAATGCATGAAGGTAGAAACAAGGTCAGCAAGACCTATTTTGTGTGTCTTACGCATTCATTTAACTGTTGCTCAAGTTACAGCTCCTCAGCCAGTCAGGCCCCAACAATGGTTCTAGGTTCTAGAGCTGCTCTGAGGCCTGCAGTGAGTTGCCCCTTGGAGTTTACACTGTTATCATTGAACAACTCTTCACCCCTGCCCCAGTTCTGTCCCCCCCAGCAGCCTGCACTGTCCCCCTCAGCCATCCAAACCCACAGTGCTGGGTGTTTATCCTGTGGTCACTGTGTGGGGAGTACCTGGAGGCTTTTTTGAGGATAGCAGGAGCTGAGCGTGTGCTCTCACCTGAAGTCCCTTTCCAGTAAGTGATTCCCTCTGAGATGAGCCCTTCCCACTCAGCTTCCTCTTCCCCAATGAGCTTTGGGGCTGAGCTGGAAACTGTGTAACGCTCAGAAATGCTGCTCTGCATCTCCCCTTCTCCCGAAGTGTGAGCTGGCAGGATGCAAAGGTCTCCAGGTGTGCTGCACCCTCAGCCTGCATCCACTGGCCCCAAGAGCTGCACATCTCCCAGAGCTCTGCCCAGCAATCTGCTCGAATTTTGTGCCTTTCAGGGTTTTCAGATAGTGAGTTCTGTATTATCAGATGCTGAATACCCTTCAGATTGTCTTTGTGCTGATTGTAGCATTGATTTTCCTATCCATAATATGGTTGGTGTCAACTTTAGTGGCGTTTCTGTTCTGTGATTGTGTGTTGCTTTATTAGCCTCTGAGTTTTTGACGATTGCACTTCCTTGAGGCATGGGTTTAGTGCAATCACATTTTGTCACAGACTGCTGTAATTAGGTTAATTAGTCATGGCTTCTACACTGCTTATTAGCAGGCTAAAATCTCCTTTTCTTTCATCAAGAAGATTAAGTGCTATAATAAATTGTTTCTTCAACAAAGCTTGAGCAAAGTACATTTCAGATTCATAGTTCAAATCTGAAGTGAAATTTACCATTCAGCTAATTTTTCCATGGAAAGACTGAAAATGCTCCTGCCCAAAGGCTCCTCTTGCCAGTGGGTTCTGGCCAAGGTGGTGCCAAAAGGGATCAATATTTGTGGCCCATTTTGGGCACATTCACTGCTGACTAGCTGGAGATGAGGGGAACGGATTTCTCTGTGACCTCAGCCATCCCTCCTGTGCTGTTGTCCCACGCTCTAGCTCCCTCCACACCTCCAGGAGCTGTGTCCATGCTGCCATGTGCCTCCTGCAGCTCTGCAGTCCCTGATTCCCCGTGGCTGCACGTGGCTCTCTCCATGGCTGCCTGTTCCCAGGGGCTGGAGAGCCTTGGATTTGCATTTCCCAAGCCTGATTTCCTTTGTGATAATTTCTGCAGTGCCTCTTCATTGCTGCATGCAGATGTGTCCTGTGGGATAA